TCCGTTCTACCTACCTAGATCCTATTCAAATGCCATTCCTCAGCTCAAAGATATTCCTGAATGCTGGAAATCAAGCTCAAGGCACAAGCTAGGTGAGTGCCTAACCACTGAACTATATTCCCAACCCCTAAATGTTTTCTGATCCCTCTTAACTGCATGAGATGCTTTCTTCCTTTAAGCCCCCAATGTTGACTATCTTTCATTGCATTTACCATATTCTGACAACACCCCAACGTACACATTGGAGAACTTACTTTGTTCTCCTAGTGAACATCACATTCCCAGAGGCAAAGGACATGTGTATTAAGTTCATGCCACCAAATAAGTTATATTTGGAATCCTCTATATTGTGGTAGAGACAGAACTTGATGCATAAAGATTTGTGGAATTGAATTAAAGCATATTGATTACATGTGACCACTTGTTAGTACCTTAAATAGCAATAGTTTGCACAGAGATGTCCACAATTAGAAATAGAGGAGCCAAGAGTAAGTATATGAAGGGTCATATATGACCCTTCATATACTTACTCTACTGTTAAAGAAGTTTTATGTTTTCGCTTGACAAGTTCACTACACCATGCTGATATGATGGCCCCAGAGATGGAACTTTCCAGACAGCAGCCAGAACTCAATCCTTCTATTCCAGGAGACAAATGATCTCTGTAGAATTTTATAACCCAACTTAGGGGATGCAAAGTATCCACCAGGGCTGGTGACCCTTCTGTTTAGGTTATGACTGGAGCTGTCACTGAGCCACATCCTCTCTGGGAGAAAATCCAGGCACTCAAGATAAGGTTTCAACAAGCTCTTGAGGCAGGAAACTTGTTTGGCCAAGTGTCTGTGTCTTTTGTCATGTACTTACTTTCTGGGCCTATAGTTCCCTTCTGCAGTCTCAGAAGAGTTCCCAAAGCTGATATCCAAAAGTTATCACTCTACCCTTGTGCAAGTCACTTCCCCTTTCTGAAGCTGTTTCCTCTAGAATAAGGGAGATTGAAATAACTCTCAAAGGTCCTTCCCAGCCCTGATATTCAAAGATTCTATTCTAGGCTACATGCTGAGTTCCCAGGGCTCCAAGCAACTCTCCTCTTCTCCAGTTCTAAAAGTGTATATGACTCACTTTTGCCATGCCTCTCACCTGGGCATGCTTTCCTGATCTCTGGAACAGTGTGTCTCTGCAGATAATGACTATATATCTGTTATCATGAGAAGGTCCATAAGCCTACAAGTTGTAAGGAGGGAAGAAACTTACCACATAACCACAGGAGGGCCTCTCTCCAGTCAAAGTGATCTCTAGTTGATTTCACTTTAAAGTCTCTCTGTTTCAGGTGCTACAAAACTCATTGCCCAGGAGAGAGGTTATAGGATGGAAGTTGCTGTGGATGGAACTGTTAACGCTCCGGGCATGAAAATTCCATCCGTCACTGGTTTTTGTTTTTTTTTTAAATCATAAAGCTATGGGTCACAAGCTGAAGTTCATCAAGTTCATCAACAAGCCAGCCAAAATCCATGTGTTGAAACTTCAGTTCACCATGTTATAGATTCGTTTATTTAGCATATGACAATTGTGGCTCATTAGACCACTAGTATGTTAGGCTTGGAAGGAAATCTGGAGCTCAGCAAGTTCAAACACCTGTTTTACAGATGGAGTAGGGATAGCTGAGAGGGGATTGGTAATATAGCAGTTTGTGGTAGAATAAAGAATAGGACCCTGGACCTCTACCTACCAGCTCTGTACACTTTACACCAAAGCAGAGGTCAACAGGATAGAGCTCTCAGTTCATATGATTATGAACATAGGAATCTCAAGTTCTCACTCTAAATCTATTTAGCTAGCCTCTTTCTTTCTCTCTCTCTGTTTCTCTGTCTCTCTCTGTCTCTGTCTCTCTCTGGCTCTCTCTCACACACACTGGCTTGCTTCAGTGCTGAGAATTAGACTCAAGGCCTCTACCACTTGCTTTTGTGCTTTTGCTTTTAGGGTGTGTGTGTGTGTGTGTGTGTGTGTGTATGTGTGTGTTGTTTTTCAGATAGAGTCTTGTGCTTTTGCCTGGGCTGTCCTAAGACTGCTATTATCCTACTTTTTCCTCCAAACTAGCTGGGACCATTGGCATGTGCTGCCATGCTTACCTTGTTTTTGAGATAAGATCTCAAGAACTTTTGCCTGGGCTGGCCTTGAACCACAGGCCTCACAATCTCTGCCTCCTGAGTTGCTGGGACTATAGGTATGTGAAAACACTCTTGGTTTGGTTTCCTTTTCATTAAGTTTCCAGGTTAAGTAGTTTTAAACTCATGACACAAAAATAAACAGAAAAGAGAAGTTATAAGACTGATGAAAGACAGAAGAAAACAGAACAGTCTATCAAGGAGACTTAAGAACTGCAAAGGCATATTAGCCTGACAACACTGCATGCGGAACTAAATATCCCCCCAGGGTCTCACTTGAATATAGTACTTCAAAAATTGAAATTCATAATGATGCCCTGGATCACAAAGAAAAGGTTGAATGAGCTTCATTTAAGAAAACAGGGATTTGCATTAAGCACTTCTTCAACAGAAGCATTATACCTAAAGGGAAAAAAAAAATGTTTTAAAGATTACCGTTAGATAAACGTTCAGTGATCTGGGAAACTCAGCCAACGAAAATAACATTGCAGCTGAGATGCTGGAGAAAGTGGCATGTTAGAAAGGCACATTGTACAGTAAGGAACTGATGTGAGCTCCCTGGGATCTGCAAGAGAAGAACAAATAGCAAAGCCCTGACCTCATCTTCTGTTTACACTTCAATTCCCAGCGTTAGTGATTAATTGTCCTTGTGTGTTGTTGCCAGGGCGAATTGTTTTTCTTTAAAAACGCCTTCTTATTTTAAATAAATAAACCATTAGTTTCAAAACAGAAGTGTCAAATGTCAAGATATTCTGACATACTAAGCTAATGAACTGAACAATGAATTTTAGAGGCTACAAGGGATCCAGCCTTTGAGAATTTTCCTTTAATCACTTTGAAGGGCAGTAGAAACCATTCTTGGTAAGATTTTTCTCATGTGTCTAGGGTAAAACAGCACTCCAGAGATGACAAACCGAAACACAAGCTGGAAAGAATTGAATGGGGAGTCAGAAGATAGATTGAGTGGTGGGCAGATCATATTTGTAGTCGAAGGTTCTCCAACCCACTTCCTAAGCCAGACAGAACTCCAGCTGAGGTGACCAAGTCTCCTCTCTGGTTTGCACTCACAATTCACACAGGACTTGTGGCTCTTTCAAAATGGAGAATTATTTTAGCAAGTGGAAATTTTGTTTTGCATCTAGTCTCAGCACATATATAATTTTCAGATGTTCCCAATATTTTCTGTGTTGTTGTTGTTGTTTTTCTTTCTGACAGTCCTGGGGCTTGAAGTCAAGGCCAGGAAACTGTCCTTGAGCTTTTTTGCTCCAGGTTAGCACTCTACCACTTGAATCACAGCTTCACTTCTGGCTTTTTTTTTTTTTTTTTGGGTCGGGTCATGGGGCCTGAACTCTGGGCCTGGGTGCTGTCCCTCAGCTCTTCAGCTCAAGGCTAGCGCTCTACCACTTGAGCCACAGCACCACTCCCGGCTTTTTTCTTTTTGCTTATGTGGTGCTGAGGAATCGAACCCAGGGCTTCAGGTATGCAAGGCAAGCACGCTACCACTGAGCCACCTTTCTAGCCCGACTTCTGGCTTTTTTGATGCCTAATTGGAGATAAGAATCTTATTCACTATCCCACAATACTGTGAAATTTGTGAAATTTAAAAAATAGTCAAAAATTAAAAAAAAAAAAAAGAATCTATGGACTTTTCTGCCCAGGCTGGCTTCAAACTGAAACCTCAGATCTCAGCCTCCTAAGTTGCTAGGATTATAGGCATGAGCCACCAGCACCCAGCTAATTTCTTTATTTTCTTATTCTTATTTTGCCAGTCCTGGGGCTTGATCCATGGGCCTGGGCTCTGTCCCTGAGCTGCTTTTGCTCAAGGCTATTGCTTCTACCACTTGAACCACGGCACCATTTCTGGCTTTTTCTGAGTAGTTAAGTGAAGATATGAGTCTCTATGAGTTTCCTGCCCCAGGCTGGCCTCGAACCCCAATCCTCATATCTCAGCCTTCTGAGTAGCTAGGATTACACGTGTGAGCCACCGCCTAATTTCTTTATTTTTAAGACTACCTATTAGAGTCACGATTATATGACTTCCTGTATAAAAGTGTTCAGTATTTTCCACTTGCAGAATTAATGACATTATCTACTTTCCACATAGCTTCCAAGCATATCTCCTCCTGCAATCTTCTCAGACTTTCTGGCTTCTCCTAGCTCTGAGCTGGGCCTTGTACTTTTAGTTCTCATTAACAAATATTTATAAGTAACTATTCCATGCTGGGTCCTATTCTATGTCTATGAAGAACATTCCTACTTTCCTGGACCTTTGGTTCTGGTGCAGAGCTTCACCTCAAGTGATTCTATTGAAGCACTTGTTGGCTGTATAATAGCTCTGTCTGTGTCTGCTTCTCAAGCTGAACACTACCTTCCCGCCCACAGTACTGTATTAACATCTCCCACTGCCCCATCACATACTGTATTCAGTGGCAAGCACAACACTGGATGCTCTTTGAATGGCCTATATTGTGTCTGCACTCTCTTTTCTTTAGAAATGTGGTAAGTGGCTATTACATATAGAATTCACCTGCAAGATTATTTTGCTCTTTTGTGATTAAACTTTGTTTTTGATGATTAAGTCACTTGGTTGGCAACAGGAATGACAGGTATCAAGCTACTTCTGATGGAACTATACAAAATGAAACAAATCAGAGGGTCCCATTGGCGTACTTACAATGTGTCTTCCTCAATTAGGAGTCCCTAATCCCCTTTCTTTGAATTTCTCTAGCCTACTTAGTCTAATTTATGGGCATGCCCTTCCTTTTGCTTCCTGGAGATTACAAGAGAAGCTATGAAAGGAAACCACTCATCTTCTTCCCTTTCACTTTGACCTCAAAGGTAGAAGCTGAAGACCAGGTGCTGGCAACCTTCTGTGGCCGGGAGACTACAGACACAGAGCAGACTCCTGGCCAGGAAGTGGTTCTCTCCCCTGGCTTTTTCATGTCTGTCACTTTCCGATCAGATTTCTCCAATGAGGAGCGATTCACTGGCTTTGATGCCCACTACATGGCTGTGGGTAAGTTGGGAAACTGGGTGGCTCTTCCTCAGGCCTCTTTCTCTCTAAAGATGAAACTGCCTTACGTCTTCTCCTTTACAGAGAACACCTGCATTCTTGCCACATTAAGCTCCACTTTGTTGCCTTACTACACTTGCTCCATTGTTTCTCTACCCATATATCTATTATCTACCCATCTATCCATCTTTTTTTGAGACATTTCAATGCAATGGCAAATGTTAGAATCCTTCTTCTTAAATACTTCAGAATGTACATAAAATATTTAAAGTTCAATATTGACTCACGGTTCTTTTTCTTTAAGTGTGAAGTTTACATACAATAAGTTGTAAGCATACATTTGTTGAATTTCGAAAATTTGATGTCTGCATGTAAGCCAAAATCCTAACAAGATTGGAACTTTACCACTAGCCCATAAAAATACCCTCATACTCCTTCCTAAACAATTTCTGCTCCCAATTTCATAGAAAACAATCATTCTGATTTTCTTTTTGTTTTGTTTTTCGGTCGTGGGGCTTGAACTCTGGGCTTGGGCGCTGTCCTTGCACTCTTCAGCTCAAGGCAAGCACTCTACCACTTGAGCCACAGCACCACTTCCTTTTCTAGTGGTTTATTGGAGATAAGAGTCTCACGGACTTTCCTCAGATCTCAGCCTCCTGAGTAGCTAGGATTATAGGCGTGAACCACTGGCGCCCAGCTCATTCTGATTTTCTTTTGCTTTTTTTCTTTTTTGGCCAGTCGTGGGGCCTGAACTCGGGGCCTGGGCGCTGTCCCTCAGCTCTTCAGCTCAAGGCTAGCGCTCTACCACTTGAGCCACAGCGCCACTTCCGGCTTTTTTCTTTTTGCTTATGTGGTGCTGAGGAATCGAACCCAGGGCCTCAGGCATGCAAGGCAAGCGCTCTACCACTGAGCCACCTTCCCAGCCCCTCATTCTGATTTTCTTATGCCATAGGTTTAGCTTTACCTTTTCTAACTCTTTACATGAATGAGCACAGTGGAAATATATTTGGGAAGTGAAGATTCTTTTATTTAGCATGATGTTTCTGAGATGCATTTATGCTGATTTATACATCAGGAATTTACTACTTTTTTCATGGGGCAATGTTCCATTGTATGAATATACTATAATTTCTTTTTATCCATTGCTCATTGAGGGAAATCTGGGCTCTCTCAATTTCTTATTCTCATTCATACTTTCAATGAACATTCTGCCACAAGTCTTTCTATGAACATATACTTCCATTTCTATTGGGAAACTATCTAGGAATCATATTTTTGGGTAAGGGAGTAGATATGCCATCTAAGAAATGTTAGTTGTATAAGGAATTTTCAAACTTTTCTGAAGCAATTACGTCACTTTACATTTTCCCACTAGTGTGTGAGAGTTTTGCGTGCTCCATATCCTCACCAATGCTAGATATTGTCAATTAAAAAAACATTAACCTCTCTGGAGGGTATGTATGGTACTACCGCATATGGCTTAAATTATATTCCCCTGATGAGCAGGGATGGTGAGCATCTTTTCAAGTGTTTCTTGGCTATTCATGTGCCTCTTTAAGAGAAATGTATATTCATATGCCTAGGATAGGGCCTGAGCCATATTAGATGCGTGGGAAGGAAGAAAGGCAACATGGAGTAGAAGTTAGCGCACACACTCTGGAGCCATCCCACCTAGGGCCTCTAGGTCTTAGTTTTACCATCTCCAATTAGACGATGGTAATAACCTTGCTTTCTAAGAATATTGCCTGGCTTGGTAATTATTGCAACTGTCAAAGGATTGTGTTTCTACCAGAACCTTGTTTTCTATAACCTTGGATAAGTTACCTAACTTCTCTGAGTCCTAGTTTCTCCCCTCATAAAATGGAAATAAAGGCTGTCTTTAGGCTTTATATAAATGAAAGAATGTATGAGTCTTGCAGCCCAGTGGGTGGCTCCAACAAAGTGGGCTATGCATACACGCATGCATTACTTGACCAAGAGGTTCTACCTGCCCTGCAGATGTGGACGAATGCAAGGAGAGGGAGGATGAGGAGTTGTCCTGTGACCACTACTGCCACAACTACATTGGCGGCTACTACTGTTCCTGTCGCTTCGGCTACATCCTCCACACAGACAACAGGACCTGCCGAGGTAGGGCCCCAGGATAATTCTGTCAAGCACTATGATGTACCACCTCTAGCTATAAGATTAGAAGAAGGCTTGGAGGAAACACAGATATAGTGTAGAGATGAAGTCAAAGATCTGTTGCAGATGTGTATGGATAAAGATGTTAAAATGCTTGCCTTATCTAGAAGTATGGAATCCAGTTCTCAGAAGAACACAGGTGAAAAGCTCAGACTCTCAGGTCATTTTTCCAACTGAAGGTTACTACCTTGACCAAATTAAGGGAAGGCTGGGTTTCCCAGTCCTTTCTGAGCCAGAAACTATACCTCACCCAGAGGTTCCCTTCCCTTTAGTCCCTCTTTAACAGACAGAACCTCATTCTAAAGGACAAAGTCAGGAGAGAGAAAAAAGGCAAAGATAGAGACAACAAGAAAGCTTCCTATCCCTTCTATCTCACCTTGTTTCCATTTTCCACCAACTTGTTTCCTTTTTGTAGTCTCAGGCTGGGTCAGGGATGGAGAAATGAAAGGACTTAGTTTCTTTCTAGGCATAATGCCCCCTGTTGGTGGGTTAACAGCCACACAAACAAATGATTAGATGACATCAATGCTAGTTACTACATGGATGTAAAGGAAATCTGATCACAGCACAATCAGACCTGAGCCGTCCTAGAGAAGTGGACAAGTGCTTGCCAGATATGATAATCCTTGACAGAGATGAACTAAGCAGGGGAAAGAAGACACTGCACACAGGAAGAACAGCTTCTGCAAATATTCATAGGTGTTATACAACTTGGGATATTTGGGGAACTAATAGTAGATGAGTGTGACCCAGGGTTAAAGAGCTTGCCTACAGACTGACTGGAAACTGGGTGAAGGGTCATTTGAGGAGGGCAAGACTGGAGACAAGAGGTCTTTGTTTTCTTTCTTCAAAAATCTTCTGCTTTTAATATAGGTATCCCTATATTACCCTTCAATATAAAGTAGTAGATTAGTGTAATTGTGACTAAATCATACCTGACAGAAACAACTTAAGGAGGAAAGATTTGTTTTGCTCATGGTTTCAGTCCATCATGGCAAAGACAGCGGAGATGGTAGAGCCGAGCAGCTCACATCATGGCAGACATGAAGCAAAGCAGAGATTTAACAGGAAGTGGCCATAGCAAGATACAGCCTCCGAGGACACGCCCCCCCCCCCCAAGTGACCTACTTCCTCCACCAGGACTCCACTTTCCACAGTTCTATCACCTCCCAACAGTCTATTCCAACTTTGATTTTATCCATGGATTAAGCAATTGATTAGATCAGAACCTTTACTAACTAATCATTTCTGGAAACCCCTTCAGGACACACTCAGAGATGTGGTTTACTAATCTCCCAAGCATTTTTCAAACCAGTCAAGTTGATCATCAAGGTTAACCATCAAGAACATTATAAAACAGAACAGACACATTAGCAATTTTCCTAGGCTGTAGCTGTGGCTCCACTGAGTAAGAGTGACTGCATGACAAGTGTGAGGCCCTGAGTTCAAACTCCAGTGCTGAAGAAAAAAGAAGGAATTGGCTTGAAGAAGGTTATTTACATTCAGTATGTAGATATTAGTATTGACTATCTCTTGTGTACTAAAAGAAATCTCAGGCAGGTTATAAACAAGAATCCTTGCTTGATCTTTGGCTTCATACCCATCCCTCAGGAGCTTTTTAAATCTTTTATTTTTAGATACCATAGACATATGTGCTTATGGATTATATATCTATCTGTGCATTGTGCAAGAACCAATTTTAGTCCTTTGGGGTGAGAGTAACCCCATGAGAATGCTTGGGGTAGAAAATGAAAACAGATGGGGATTCAAGAGACCTTGACCTAAACCTCAGTTAGTCACAGCCGCCTTTCTGGACTACAGTTTTCTCATTTGCAAATGAGCAAGAGGAACAAAAGGCTTAGGAAGTATGGACTTGCCAGCACTAGAATGGGTCAGCCCAAGGCCAAAAGTTCAACAGCAAATAAAGGCACAGTAGGGCTAAGTAATAGACAAGCTCCCATGACACTGGGTCTTTGGTGATGGTAAACACAGTGGGGAACACAGCAGAATTCCATATATCATAGAATTTATTTAGTGGGGACAGAAAAAAATCAACAAATGAGTATGTGACTTAGTGTCAGGTGGTGGATAACATTATGAAGCACAGAAGGTCAACAACCTGAGAATGCATTACATTTGAATCAAGAAAAACTTTGAAGTAGAGCACTGGGCACTCTTACCTATATTTCTAGCCACTCAGGAGACTAAGATCTCAGCTAGAAGCCAGCCAGAGCAGAAAAGTCTGTGAGATTCTTATCTCCAATTAACCAGCAAAAAGTGGCTCAAGTGGTTGAGCAACAGCCTTAAGTGAAAAAGCCAAGCAGGAGGCCTTCATGATTATACCATCTCAAAACCCTCTCTTCTCAGAGTCCCTGCCCAGTCCCCCAGTACCAGAAAAAAGGAAAGAAAGGTAAACAGCTCTGGCCAGAGACATAGACTTAGTTGGAGTCTTGACAGAAAAATTACTTGGTTTGTGACTTTCCATAAATCACTTGTCTTCACGGAGCTTCCGTTTTTCACCTGTGAAATGGGGATGATTCCTTCCCTGCCTACCTGGTGGGGACAGAGGAAGAGATGATGAGCAAGGGCTTGCTGTGGCTGTGATGGTGGCATGCCATTTTCTCTGCTGTTTCCCCACAGTGGAGTGCAGCGATAACCTCTTTACCCAGATGACCGGCATGATCACCAGCCCTGACTATCCCAACCCTTACCCCAAGAGCTCTGAATGTCTTTACACCATCGGGCTAGAGGAAGGTTTCGTAATCAGCCTACAATTCGAGGACACTTTTGACATTGAGGACCATCCTGAGGTGCCCTGCCCCTATGACTACATCAAGGTGAGCTTGCAATGAACATTTGTCCTAGGGATGCTAGATCCTGGCTGAGCTAGGAATGCTGATATCCTGGCTTTTTCAACTTCTCATAGGACAGAGAACTAAACCAATAGCTTTCTAACAACTCATTATTTAAATTAGCATCTTGATCAGATCTACTACAAGGATCTTCCCCACGTTAGTTCCCTGGCTACCTCCCTGCTTGTTGGGAAGGTGCATGGGGGTGGGGGTGGGGTGTCAGACTCACCTTCATGGATCTGCACCCCATGTAGCCAGGTGGGGCTCTGTTCTCTAACCTATATTTGGTTTATTTGCTGCTGTTACCTTCTTGAACTTCTTAATATGTTTTGACCAAGGAGCCCACATTTTCATGACAAACTGGACCTCACAAATTATGCAGCTGATTCTTCTCAGAGGAAGAAATTGTTCAACAGGCAAATAAAGAGGAGGAAGGATGATGCAACCAATCACCACTGAATTTCAAATTATTTCAACAGTATAGGTGTGATGCAAAGGCAATGTGAATTTCAGCCATGACTAGAACAGTGGAGGAAATAGTTCTTTGAAGTATAAGAAGGAAAATCAGCAATTCTTAGTGACTGGCTGAAGCACCTAAGTGGAGTTGTCTACTGGGGTCTGCTCTCAGGAGAAATGCTGAGCTGGTGAGAAAGCGGGGTGCCATCAAGTGTACAAGCCATGTAGACAGTGAGCTCTTCTAGAGAGAGAAAAAAAAGCAGAAGCTAGATCACAGTAAGTTCTGAGAACTATACAAAGGAAGAAGAACCATGAATGAGATCAGAAAGAGCCATAAACTGAGTTGCCCACAAAGGGAGCTAACATTAGTAGTAGGAGAAACAGGGAAATCAAAATCTCTAGAAAGAGATGTGACTCTTCTCTGTATCTATATTGCTTTTCTTAGATTAAAGCTGGTCCAAACATTTGGGGGCCCTTCTGTGGAGAGAAAGCCCCAGAACTCATCAATACCCAGAGCCATAAGGTTCAGATCATGTTCCACAGTGACAACTCTGGAGAGAACCAGGGCTGGAGACTCTCGTACACAGCTTCAGGTAACATCTCCCCCTCTGGTCTCAGCTACTGCGGTGTTCAGTGCTCACCAGGAGGGTGGCTGAGGGAGGAGAAAGTGTGTGCCTAGGACTTTTCTGGAGACTACTGGGATTTGGGGCTGAGGAAAACTTAAAATTGAGGTACATGTTCCCTTGTGACTCAGTTTCCCAGGAGCAAGAGTGGTGGTGAGGTTGGCTCAAACTGGTTGGTCTCAAACTGCCTTGTTGGAGATGGAAAAATGAAATCTTGTTTTCTGAGCCCCACTCTTCACACAGCTATTCATTAGACCTCAATAGGACCCTTTCTGCTTTCTCTAAGTCAGGGACTGAAATTTGGGTGTGTCTGAAGCTTTAAATGCTTCATTATGGTGTCTTGCATCCATGTGAGCTCCCAGATTGGCAAAGTCCACAGGTCCCATTTTTTTGATGCCCAAGACAGCCAACTCTGGCCCAAAACCTGACAAAGCTACTCTGTAATCACTCAAGGAAGAAAAATGTGGACATCACAAAGGAGTGACTAATCCACTTCCTAGCCCTTGAAGCCCTGGCTTCCAGTGCCCAGTCTGGGAAGAAGCATGGACCGGAAATTTACGAAAGAGTTTGTTCTGGAAAAAGTGTCAGGGCTTGAGGAGCTCATCAGAATTAACCTTTAGAAGAGTGGACTCAGAAGCATATGATTGCAGTTGCTTACTTTGAAACAGGATCTTAGGAAGAAAAAGGAAACTAGGGCCATCCTGGGTGGCCCAGTGAGTCAAATTCCCAAGGACATCAATTTTAGCTAAATGAGAAAACATTGTTCACTTCATCAGAGACATCTCTGTGTGGAAGGCATCGACTTGAGAGGAATTGAGAGCCTTGTCCCTACAGGAGTGCAAACATGTTGGGAATACTGTAAAGCAAGGCTTGGACAGGGTTGAATTCATTAAAACTCAGAGTTTTAATGAAATCATCTGGCCAACTACCTCAACTTACAAATGAGGACATGGAGAGCTGAGTTAGAAAGTGACTGGTTTCTGGCTGCAGAGTCATTTTCCTGAAAGAGCCTACTAGAAGGTTCAGATCTCTGATAGTCAGTCCTGTTGTTTGATCCTCCTTCAGGCCTTGCTTCCTAGGGTCCTTTATGCACACACTTCATTTTCTCACATGCTGCTGTTTCATTTGCTTCCCACTAGGAAACGAATGCCCAGAACTACATCCTCCTGTCCACGGGAACATTGAACCTTTGCAAGCCACATATTCCTTCAAAGACCAAGTGATCGTCACCTGTGACACAGGCTACAAAGTGCTAAAGGTAGAGGCTCCTGCCTGCAAGGAGGAGGGAGTGATCAAGAGAAAATTTCTAGAGCCTTCCAGAACAGATGGGCTGCTGCAACTTGCCACAGTGCCAGACCAGTTTCTCTCACCTGCCCCAAAGCCTCCCTCCCAAAGGCTCCAGAAATTCTAAAGCATGTATCCCAGACTCTCTCATGCCTTACCAGTGGTACTTTCATTAGAGCATGGATCCTAATAAAAATCTAGGTCCAAATGGCTCTATAATCAGGACTAATAATGTTAACAGAAGGTGGTAGACGGGTACCCCTTTGTCTCCCATCTCCTGAAACAATGGTTTTCAATGACAACCAGTATCTTTAAGGCTGAAATCAGTGTAATATTTCTTTAAATGTTCTCCAGGTAAGCCAAATGTTCAGTAAAGCTAGAGGGCTGTTGCTGTCAATGAATTGTTCTTAAGGAAGGGTCTCTGGACCAGCAGTATCAGCATCATCTGGAAATTTGTTTGCTATTTTAATTCTTGGGTGGATCCAACCCAAGAATCAGAAATTCTGGGAGGAGGGCCCAACAGTCTGGCATGACAAGCCCTCCAGATGAGGCTGACCGCCTGCCCAATGTTGAGAGCCACTTGTCAGAAAAAAGAAGTCAAGGCTAAGTTTCTCCCTTCAGAGACTATGATTTAAGCTCCTCTTGTACACAGCCCTAGCCAGTCTAGAGTAAAAACCAGGGACTATGAATTCAGCATCTGTCTTTCCCCTAGCTGCACACTTGCCCTCAGAATCCATATGGGTGGAAAATGCCAGTACAAATGAGCCAGGTTTGGAGTTCAAATTAGTTTTGCAGGTCAACCACCACTGGACCCCACTCTCTTCTTCTTTTTCTCATTCCTTTCTGGTTTCTGCTCAGGATTATATGGTGCTAGACGTATTACAGATGGAGTGTCTGAAGGATGGGACCTGGAGTCATGCGATGCCCACCTGTGAAAGTAAGAAAACCACATAGATTAATTATAACTTTAATTAATTGTAACTTTAACTCATTAAAGTTATCCCATGCTGGTGGGAAAGGAGCAGAGACTATGTAAGTGGGAAAACTCAGCCAGAGGTGATATGTATGTATAGGACAGGAAGTCAATAGACATAGGAGAGCTGGACAGAAAGAGTTAAAGTCTCTTTTAACAAACAGACTATCAGATCCAGAGAGAAACATTTTATGGGCCTCAGTTTACTTTCTAAATACTAATTTTTTGAAGTCAAATTGTCAAGCTTTGTAAAGAAATAGCATGTCTCCAGATTTGAAAGGAGCTTTGGCATTTGCTAATGCAGGAATGTAGCTTGGCACTGGTGTCCAGGGCTGGATGACATCTTACATACAGCCATTATCCACACCCACTATGTCTTCCAGGTTAGTTCACAATTCCAGAAAGGCTGCTGTGTCAGCACAGCAAGCACATATGAAAGAAGGGACCCAGCTCGTCACAAGCTCTTGGGATCCAGAGATCTTACCTTGTGTGCCCTTAATCCACTCAGTACCTGGGGACATGATCCTTTGCCTCAGTTATCAACTGAAGAGCCTACATTCATTTTAATATTCTACAATCTATGCCAGTGATTCTAAAATAATATAATTCATAAGAATCATCTGTTATGCCTAGAAAATTACAGATTTCTAGCAACTAACCTTCTTCCCCCTCATACTCAGATAATTCCAAAGTGGGTTTGCAAAGATCATAATTGTACATACTTACATATAACAACAGTGATGAGAAGAGGCATATATAATTACAGAGTCAGGGAAGGAAAAAGAGTAGAGGGAAGGAAGGAGGGAGGGAAGGAAGGAAGGAAGGAAGGAAGGAAGGAAGGAAGGAAGGAAGGAAGGAAGGAAGGAAGGGAGGGAGGGAGGGGAGAGAAGCAAAAGGAAATGAAGGGAAGGGAAGGGAAGGAAGGGGAGGGGATGAGAGGGGAGGGGAAAGATTTGCTATAAAACCAAGGTTTGAGAACTCAAGAATGAGGACTGGTCCCACCAATCTCATTGCATACTTTTCCCGTGAGCTTTTGAAGCTCTCTCTCTCCCTTTCTACTGAATGGCTCCCATCTTGCAGGCAGACAAATCCCCTCTGCCATCCCTTGGGGCACTCTCAGAGGGGAGGGGGCTCTGAGGCAAACACCAGGACACATTTGGCAGCATAACGTGCTTGTTTACATTTTTAATATGATGATATACCTTATATGAAGAAGAGTATTGTATAGGTTTAGCAGAAAATCTCAGTACTTACTGATGCCTATGAAGAATACCACAGAGAATTCAGATTCCAGACAGGAGGAGCTCAACTGTTCCTCTAGTAGGTGGCCTAGTGGGTAGTATGGTAACTGGATCCTAAGCCAGACCCTTTGCAGGATGAAGCAAGGGTCACCCTGAAGAAGGGAAAGGAGGGTTTCAGGCACTCAGGACAAACCTGGCTCTAGATTGGGGAAGCTTCACATTCAAATGCAGTTTCTAGCAATTGAGTTCCTCTAAGCAATTTACTTCTGTTCAGTTTGGATTTAGTCTCCTATCCTCAAGATTATTGTGAGGACTGGGTTAGTCTATATATCATACCTATAGAGTGCCAGGAAACAGTGAACATTTAATAAAAGCTTCATTCCTCACAGTCTAGTCCCTTCACTAGAAGATTTGATTCTCATTCACACTTTTGGAAAGTAAGAAACATTATGAATTATTTTCTCCTGATTATACACACACACTTTTATTATAGTGGACACATTGACAGAGCAAAGCAGTTCTGTAGTACTGGCTTATGTGATTTAAGTTATTTGCAACAGAACATACTATCATTTTGTACAAAGACAATACAGCCTGATTTTGGATTATGGCTATTATAACCCCCATGTAGACACACCCACATCTCCCAATTGTATGTGTTATTCTAAGACCTAGGGAAGGTACACAGACCAAACTGAGGAGTTGAGAGTCCTGGGGATTGTGGAAAGAGGCTGATAATAGAAATGTGCACCAGAATAGGAAGTGGGAATCATTGGTTGTTATTTAGCCTCTGCCTTCAAACTATTGTGGTAAGAGAACCTGTTGTATTCTGAATTCTATGTGTCAAATGAGGGTCTAAACCAGATGAATGTAAATCTCCTTGCAAAGAAAAAAAAAAAATCTTACAATCTCAGGAGCCAGGATGTAAGGTAGTGCAAACTTTCCTAATGGTACAAATTCGACCATTCCAAACTGTCCTTCGCACTGGCTTTACCTAAACTGTGCATTCTTAATCAATTCTGATGGAGTATTTCTGTATTTCCTGCAGGAACTATTTCTGCCTTTTGCTAATTTTTCTTTCTCTCCTTTCTCTCTTTTTCTATCTCTCCCTTCCTGTCTCTGCTTCCTTTCTCTTTGTCTCCGATCCCAATTTGACTTTATAGTGACAGAAAGCGAGATCGATTTGGAGAGCGAATTGGAGTCAGATCAAGTGACAGAGTGAAGGATGGGAACCCCACACAATTCAGACATCCAGGAATGGATCACGCACAAAGATCCCCAAGTCCCAGCTACTCTGCCCCTCCCCACCTACCAACACTCCCATTGTCCATTTCAGTGTGGATTAGGATGAAGGCCAAGGAAACCACACAGCCTCTGCAGTTAAAGCTGTTGTGTGTGCGTGAGAACAAAATCATGCCTTTGAGGATTCGATCATCATTCAACATTAATCCAAAAAGCCATGAAAAGACAATGGGGGATTTTTTTTTTTTAGGACCCTTAAGTGGACAGTACTCTTCTCAAAGTAAAAATGCCCTCAGTTCTGGAACCATAAGATTTGATATACAATCATACTGCCTTAGGCTGAATAGACCAACACTGGCCCTGGCTCCTGGTCCAAACAACCCAAAATACTCCCAAGTTTAACTGTGCCAGAATGCCAGTGACTTTATGAGTATAAAAGTTTTTTTATTGGTCACTAATGTCTTAAGAACCATAAGTAGGTAATGTGAACAATAATTTATAGTGTGGATTTTTGAGAATTTGGATATTTTCTCATTCACAAAATGTCCCTTCTATCATTATTTAACACAGGGCTGAAATTCTATCATTAGAAATTTCTTTCTTCTGAATTTACAAGTTTTGTGTTTCTTCAGCTTTACTGATTAAAAACTTTAAAAAAAGATAGGCATCACATGAACACTGTGGTCCTCCATTCCAGGGCCGTGGACACCACTGAGTCATAAGGAATGGTGAAGAAGGGCCTGAAGAACAACTGCCTATATTGCAGAATCTTGGCTTCTGCCTAAACAAGGCCTTGACACACACCAGGGAACCCAGTGACTGTGACTAAACCTGTTTCAGGACTCCATGTCCACTTGATGAGGGCAGACCCCTGCACACGCAGACACTGATCAATCTAGAGCTGAGGTAACAGATGTGCCACCAAGAAAGGAGACAGACAAACAGATGATTGCAAGTCGACAAGCTAGGCACAGACTTATTCCCAGTATAACTGACAATATAATTTCAAATGAAGATTTCATGGGCATCCAAATAATTGCAGGACCAGGCAACATAAGATGGTATTTACCATCAGAAAGACATGAATAAAAAGTTCCAGAATCAGGAAACTACCCTGTCCAGGTAGAAGGAATAGATAAAGCTTTTAAGAAGGACTAGTGTTTGATCAAGATCTCAGAGGAGGCCACGTGGACATAGTGTCCCAGGCACAAGAAGGCACAAAACCAGGAAAGGAGGCAGCAGAAGAGATCCTGGTGATGTTAGAGTTTATGATCTACTAAGGAGAGGAAAGAAGATGAGTTTTGGAAGGGGTGCTCTGGCCCAATTCTTGGTCTTCCATTCTAGGAAGAACTGCTTACCTGTGGTTTCTCAGAAGCCACTGGATTATAGTATGCTCAGTATTGCATGCCAAAGAAAGATGGGTCTGAAGTAAACATAAATTGCAGAAAGAGATAAATAGGAGATAGGGTGGGGATAGTACAGTCAACACTAAAGAGTGGTAAGCAAGGGAGGCCAAGGGAGGCCAAGGGAGGCCAAGGGAAGGGGAAAGATGTAGGTGTGTGTGTGTGTGTGTGTGTGTGTGTGTGTGTGTGTGTGTGTGTGTGTGTGTCTGTCTGTCTGTCTGTCCTGGGGCTTGAATTTAGGGCTTGGGCTCTATCCCCTAACTTTTTTGCTCAAGGATGGTGCTCTACTGCTTGAGACACAACTCCACTTTCAACTTTTAATCTGCTAGTTAATAAGAGAATAAGAGATTCACGGACTTTCCTGCCCCGGCTGGCTTTGAACAACAATCTTCAGAACCCAAGCCTCCTGAGTAGCTATGATTATAGGCTTAAGCCACTGGTGCCCAATGAAAAAGGCCTTTTGATACTAGGGCGTAGATGGCACATCTCCTAAAGAAACAATGGACTAAATAAGGACCCAAGATCTAACACACGGTGATTGTACAGCAGGGCCCTCTTGAGAGGAAGTAGTTGCCACTGATTTGGATTCAGTTGTCTCCCAACGCTTTTTGATTAATATGGATGGAGGTTCACCCGTTCCTTACTCACTGTAACTGAGACAAAATGGCCTTCTATTTTCCAATATTTTCATCTCTCTGGTTGTGAGACCCACTGTGTTCATGGACAAAATTACTTTTCTGGAGCAATGCAAAAGCAAGCTTTATATCCAGATAATGTCTCTTAAGTCTAAGTCCAGCCCTGAAATTCTTCTAGGAAAGAGCAAAAGGTAGTTAAGGAACCAGCTATCTGTATCTCAAGGATATTTTAAATCAAAGCAACTGCTAACTGTTAATGGAAGCAAGTAATATCGATATTAAGACCAGTCAAGTACATTTCCCAGAGGGAAGGAAAAATCTGCTGAGTCTCAGCAAAAAAATAAGTTGAATATTATTCACAACTTCAAAAAACCAATATTATTTCCTCTTACTATCTTGTATTATCCCGGGATTAACCTTTACATATCTCCCAAACTGGAAGAGTGTTTATACTTTGACATGATCAAAACAAATGGAAACAATTTGTCTAGGGATATCAGAGGCCAAAACAAAACAAGCCCTTCTGATTTTTGCCTTCTTTGTTGACAAGTACTCATATTCATTCCCTTCTTTCATCCATCTCCTTCAACCTGAAGAGCCTTGGAATTACACATATTTTAACTTACATAACCCTCTAGCAGTCAAATGTGAAGCCCTAAATTGAAAATCACAGTGTCTGGCTAGCAATCAAAGATAAGTTTTTCCTCTCTGTTTCTCAAAGTACTCAAGTAAAATTCTGAAGGAAGTAGAACTTTGAAAATTCTGCTGGACCTCTGGAAAGATTGACTACTAAGGTCCACTATTAGCCAGCCAATACCTACTGTAAGTCATTTAACTGAGGAGAAATAAAAAGATCCTTAGGAACTACTGGTACTATTCACTGAAATACAACGGAGATCAAGGTCACATTCAGTTCTCACTCTGACAATAACTTTGGATGAGTCAAATCTCCTATCTGAGTGCATTATATAGAAGACATTCTTGATGTCTTAGGTCAGGTTTCTAACTAGAAAATTCTGCATTCCCTCTGTGATTCTCCAGCTCTGTCACAAACTGTTACATCTAACGTTAGGATTTTCTTAGAAATAAGCGCCATCATCTCCTAAAGGAGACCCATGAAAAGACATTGATAAGTTGAGTCATCAGCTTCTGATTTGGTCATGAAAAGTTGACCTAAGTCTGGATCCCTGTCCATATCAGCAACACCCTTAAGACCTGTATAGCCTACCAAGCTCCCCACAGACCGTCTCTGGGGTGCAGCATCTTTGGTCATATCTGTGACTACAGTCATCCGCAGTGTCTAGCCACCAGTGAATGGAGAAAACGAGCAGGTGAACACTGAAAGTTGGCCCACTCCTGACCCTCTACTGCCTCTATGACCAAATGAGCTCTGAGTAGAAAGCCAACAGGGTGGAACTGTGTACTTTTGGAGGAGCCTGGTTTTTGTTTGGGGTAATTTTTTTTTTAATTTTGTTTGGTTTGGGGGATTTTTTTGGTGCCAAACTCCAATATGGACATATTCACTGTTGTTATTCATCCTGTGGTTGGAACTGGAAAAAAATGGAACCTTCTTTGGTTCAGGTCAGCCAGAATTTTCTCATAGCCATTTGCTTCGTGATTTGGCAGAAGGAACAGAGAAGATTGCATAATAGAACTAAAAAAAAATCAAAGAAAGACACTATGGTGATAATGTGACTGGGGCTTCTTAAATCTCAACAGATCTGCCCCTGTAAAACTTGGCACTAGGCCAGGTGAGTTGACCATACAGTATTAATATCATAGTGGAGAAACCTCCAAAGCAGGAACACTATCAGCTGCACAGGTTGGACACTATGCAATTCTTTGGGGGAAACTATAACATGGTTCTCTGCGGTTGTGTGCAGTGTGTAAGCTGCACATCTGCAGAAGATGGACTCATCCTATTTCCTCACAAGGAAGAATACAAGGCAGCTAAAGGGTCTCACTTCTTCTCTCTCAGTTATAGACTGTGGAGTCCCAGCAGGGCTGGAACATGGGCTGATCACCTTCTCCACAAGGAACAACCTTACCACATACAATTCTGAGATCAGATATTCCTGCCAGCAACCCTTTTACAAGATACTTCAAAATACCACAGGTAAGCCCTCCATGCTAAACTATCTCATTCTCAAAGTGCACACTCTGGGCCTCAGGGTTCAATTGAGGCTGCAAGAGCTCTATAAGGAGTCGCTGCCTACAAGTGTGTGGAATTCATAATGCATAAAGCACCCACACATTGTATTATCTGGGTCTCACATTCTATGTGTTATCGTGTCCATTTAGAGATGCAGAAGTTGAGTGTCAGAACCAAATCCCAGGGTTGTTCTTTTAGCTTTTAAATTCAGCACTGATTCTACTAATGAATGTAGACCTTGAAGCCTGGAGTCTTTCATGACAAAATTAAGGAAGAAATAGAGACCTCAAAGAAGTCCAAAATCTCCCAAAATATATTTCCTTAAGTTGTCTGAGGACAACCTAGGATTTCCAGAATGTAGCAAGTGTTGCTACTTTAGCCAATTTTTGCCTTGGCTTCTGGCTAACCAGATCAGTCATTCAACAGGCCTGCGAAGTAGGAGCTCTTCCTTCAAAATCATGCCCTTAGTGTGTGGCAGTGGAGTTCAAATGGAATGGAAAAGTGAAGAGCAGACAAAAGAAAATTCTGTCTATTTTGCTAAATAGCTTATCCCCAGAAAAAGATTCAAATTCAGCTGCAGCTGATCATTACTTTCTATCCCTCTGATAGGAAGACCCTGGGTTCATGCCAGGATTGGGTAGAGGCACCCAGGCCTGAAAGGTAAAGGACCAGCATTAGCCTTGTTTGAGAGGAGGAGAAATACTTGAAGATATGTGCTGCCTCTCACCAGAATGAGTCACTCTGATACCCTTACATAAACACTCAAAATGCCTGGCCAGAAAAAGAGCTCTCAGGAAGATGTAAAGGCCCATCTCTGTGTCAAGTGATTCTAAGCAAACTCCTCTAGTTTCTTAAAGACTCCACATCATCATTTTTCAATAAGGCAATGAGATATCATTGCAGAACTATTATGAGACTCAAATGAAGCAGGTCACACATGCATGGCTTATTAAAGAGAGTGGTATTAACCAAGGTCATTACAACCAATGGAAGGACACCTGCCAGAGAATGGTAACACGAGGCCGGGAGCGGCTCTCAGACTAGCAGGAATCAGATTCCACAGAGCTGTGGGCACTGGACTGGAGAGTATTGTATTTATTTTAGGAGGGTGAGGGTCCATTGATCATTCTAAGCTCAGAAGGCACATGGTTAGATTTCCATCTTAGAAAGTTCCCTTGTATTAAGAGAGGTCTGGCTCAGAGGACCAGACTATTTGGAGGACCTTTTCCATGGTCGGTACTGGAGGAATTAAGAAGTCAAACCTATGTTCTATGTGCTCCACAGCATTCATTTTCTTCTTTTCCTCCCACTTTTATTTTCACTCACCCAGGTATATATACCTGTTCTGCCCTTGGGACCTGGGTGAATGAAGCACTGGGGACAAGCCTGCCCACCTGCCATCCAGGTACCTCACACACCAAATCTTCTGCTTGAAACTCTTTCATCCAAGTCCTGGGGGGCCTCAGGTGCTTTGGCTATAAATAGGGAGTTACGAGGAAAGAGGCTGTGGTTGTTTTTTTAAGAGATATAAGAAATGTCTTTTGAAGGTCAAAGATTAGAGAAGCTTACCCTCACACTTTCTCAAACTAACTGGACTCTATCCTCTATTCTCCATTGTACAAGGACCACTCTTCCCTCCTCTCTCTACAGCTCCAGTCACTTCCCTCCAGGTTTTTCTTTCAACCCAGTGAGTGTAGACACCTGTTGTTGCTCAGGAAAATCAAGAAAGTAGGCCTTCCTTGTCTTTGAGCACTTTGAGCTATAAAGAAGATGACAACAGAAGACAAATAACAAATACTCTGAAGGATGGAGTAAGAACTTCAAGAGCAATATGTACAAGTTTTTCTGATTATGGCCTCCTGCATGTTTTATCTACTGATTCCAACTTAAAATGGTTGTATCTGTGCATCTAGACTTAGGGGATATTTGCTTTAGCATTAAAACTATAGATGATTTGCTTTGAAATCACAACACACACACACACACACACACACACACACACACACACATTCAGATCAGGTTAGAAAAGTATAGCCCCAACACACATACACATTGTAAAGTTAAAGAACCCACAAAACCTTATTCTCTTAAGAAAAATATCCAGAATAGTGACAATGAAAGGAAACAACCATTCAAGATAGCATGGAGGAAGACTGAAAAATACTATCCTTCTTGGTTTCATATGCATTTTTGCTTGAATAACAAGAGCTTTACAATATGGCTATGCATTGGGTGGCTTTGTATTTTACTGAACTACAAGGTATTACATGAAGGGCATTTTACTAATTCTCACTATTCACTCAGTAAACATTAGGCTAAATGTTAGAATGAAAAACCTAAGGAGTTTTCTAACATTAAACCTTACGCGGTGAAGAACAGAATAACATTTGAGAGTCAGTACACAACCATCACATGTGTGATAGGACCCCAGAGGAGGCTGTAACTGCACATGTGTGTTCCAGAGTGGAAGATGTGTACCAGGAAGGAAAACTTGACATAGAAGATATTTATCCCCAAGAAAGCATGAAGATAAAGGGAATTAAAAATATAAAGGTCTTCTCATCTACATTCTGCTGATCCTACTCACCTCAAATTGGCTTGACCATAACCACCCCCATGAAATGTGGGTGGTAAAGTCTCAAAGAAGAGGAGACTGGTGACGCTGAAGGTCTATATGGGACAAAGAAAACTATGGGTGATTCTATTCTGGGAAGCCACATTGCTACCTCTGAGAGAGGAAGATGCACTTGGCTATGAACCTGAGCCTGGTGCAACTGCCTCCAAACTGGAATGTTTACTGGGTAATCTCAGTTCTCCGGCAGCTGGGAGTCCATGCCACAGAGAAAAAGGAAGCAAGATCAGGAAATCCATAGCATCCTATGATTCTGAATGTTGATTATCTTAGACAATGTACAAAGCATCTTGGATATTGTGAACCATGAAATTCTTATAATACTCAGGGTTGGACAGAACCCAGATTTCTGAATTCTTCCTTTTTGAAAGGCTGACCTGGAACCAGGATGTAAACTGAATGGAAAATCTGCTTCATCTAGTATCGTAGAGGTCTGCTAAGAGTATTATTTTCCCAGTAAAAACTTGTATAGTGATTGGTGCAAATCTACTTCCAGAAAGAGGCAGTCAGAAAATGAACCCAAGACTTCTGATGCCAACACAGTAGTGTTGAGCCTTCTCTGACTGCGGTTATGTTTTATGTCATCCTCATGAACTCAGAATCCTGGAGTATGGATGGTTTGTTTTAAGGACCTTCCTTCTATATCCACCATCTACTAGAGCCCAAATCTGACTTTAGCACAGACCACATTGTAACATTTCAAGAATAATCCTTTCTGAGGAGACACTGGGAGTTGAATATCAGCAACCAAGAAGGATGATCTCAAATTTGGATGTGTGATCATCTTGAACAGCTGCTTTATTTTAGCTAAGTATCGTGTTTCATGCCTATTGTCATAACTACTTATGAGTCTGAAGCAGAAGGATCTTTTGAGCCTAAGAGTTTGAGGCCTTTCTACGCAACATCATTCAAGACTTCAACCTCCCTACCCCCCTCAAAAAAGAAAAATAAGGAGCTGGAAACCCGTGGTGCACACCTATAATCCTAGCTAGTCAGAAGGCTGAGATCTGAGGAGTGCAGTTCAAAGCCAGTCTAGGCAGACACATTCAAAGAGATTCTTATAGCCAACAAACCGGCAAAAATTCAGAAGTGGAAGTGTGGCTTTTAAATACTAGTATGCCAGCCTTGAGCAAAAAAAGTTAAAAAAGAAAGTAAGGCCCTGAGTTCAAGCCCCAGTACCAGCACACACACACACACACACACACACACACACACACACACACACACACACACACCAATTACCCCATTTCAATGATCTCTCACGACAAAGAATTGTTACTGTTTTTAACTTCTTCAAAAGACAAGAACACATCAAAGTGGAAATCAAATGTTAGCAGAGAAATTAAGCTGGCATCAGGGAAAATGGGTTTCACTTCATCAGGCACTGACATTGAGTGAGTCACTGGTCTTTTCCATCTGTAAATTAGCTATTCCCTGAGCTTCCCTTGGCACTGACCTTCTGTGATCTGAAATAGGTCACTGGCATCTTGTGCTGGCATGGGCTTTGTTGTGACCATGAACTGAATCATAAATATGTCCCTCACCTCTGTATAAATTCATATGCACAGACCTGCCTTGAGGTTCCCTCTTATAGACTGCTGATAATAACTGGAGGCTCACCCTCAACTTTGATAAAACAGGCTACCAACAGTTACAAAGGCCCTTTCACATCCTCCCTGCGGTGAATGGCATTGTGCCCCCAGAATCATGGAAGAAGCACCTGGCATCATGAAGAAGAACATCCAAAGCCATCATGTGGTAGAAAACCCGTCCTCCCACAATTACCAAGAAAATACAAAGGTTCCTTGGTCTCTAAAGGGCTGATGAAAGCATCTAAGGACAAGGATGGCTGTCTTCCCATTGCAACCTGAAGGAGAGTCACAACACCTCAGGCTAACCTACCAGGCTCACATAGCCTGCATGGGAAGGGCCCGTGTGAGCTTGTGTTTTAGCCAGGGGGCCCAGTACGGAAGACCTTCTGGCTCATGAGTCAGAGGCATTTGGCTACAGGAGGCTGGTGGTGCATGTGCATGCTCGGGGTGCAACTCAGTGGAATGAAGTTTCCTCAGACCTTTCTCCTTCCCTTGAAGGTACTACAGGGCTCCAGGGTGCAATGATGAGCGGCCCTGAGGAAGGCCCATACATCATTGCGTGTGGATTATGCCACCTTTCCCCTACTTTGTCTGTCCAGGGCTTAATCCACAAGTCAGAGGAGAAAGGGTTAGAAGGCTATGACCATCATCTTAATATATCCCAAGGCAGAATGGAATACAGAATTAGACAACAATCTTAGAATCTAGAATCTTCTAACCAACTTGATAGTTATATTACCTCGAGCTGATCTTGTAACCTCTAAAAAATATTTTTTGTCTATAAAGAGAGAGTGGCAAATGAAGTAATAAAGAAAATTGAAATTTTGAGATTATCTTGTCCAAAATTGAAGTGAAACAAATTGAAAGCAGCCAGGCATCAATAGCTAATGCTTCTAATCCTAATGACTCAGGAGGCTCATCTGAAGATCACAGTTCAAAGCCAGCCTAGGCAGACAAGTCCAGTTGGTAGAGCATCAGCCTTGAATGACAAAGCCAAGCAAGAGCACAAGGCCCTAAATTTAAGCCCTAATAACACATACACACACACACACACACACACACACACACACACACACACACACAAAGTATTGAAATCCACAGAGGAAATTCACAGAGGAAAAGTACTGCCTTAGAGTCACATAGGAAATGAAAAAGTCAGACCCCAGGCCCCAGGTGCGTTGGTTCCCAGTTTAGTATAGACTAGAAACTGATGGATAGTCTTTTAGGCTCCTTCCATTTCTCTGTGCCTGTGGACATGGAGAGAAAATTTTGAATTCTCTGAGTGCCCACAGTATGGATGACTTCTAAGATATTAGAGTCATTTCTAGGAGAAACAAAAGAAGTGAGGTGACCACTGTTAGTGATAGGCCAGGCTGAAGATGGTTGAGGCAAAAAGTAGTCTTTGACAGATCGATTCAGCTTGGACAAGGCCCAAGCCTGAATTAACTGGTTCCGTACATTAGCTCAGCTACAGTGGAACCAGTCACAGAAATTTAGACCCAGAGAGTCCCAGGGAAACGTTCTTCATAGTTTTTGCAGATTAGAAATTCCAGAGTGGCATAATCTACACTGGGGTAAGAGACAAATTGCTCCTAGTAGCTCTTTCAATATGGCTGACCTAACTGAGCTCTGTTTCTTGTCCCTACCCCATTCACCTCCTCACAGAGTGTGGCCAGCCTTCCCGCTCCCTGCCAAACCTAGTCAAGCGGATTATTGGAGGCCGGATTGCTGAGCCTGGGCTCTTCCCATGGCAGGCCTTGATAGTGGTGGAGGACACTTCAAGGATACCAAGTGACAAATGGTTTGGGAGTGGGGCCCTGCTCTCAGAGTCCTGGATCCTCACAGCGGCGCATGTGCTACGCTCTCAGCGCAGAGACAACACCGTGATACCCGTCTCCAAGGAGCACATCACCGTCTACCTGGGCTTGTATGATGTACGTGACAAATCAGGAGCTGTCAACAGGTCAGCTGCTCGTGTGGTACTCTACCCTGACTTCAACATCCAGAACTACAACCATGACATAGCTCTGGTACAGCTGCAGGAGCCTGTGCCCCTAGGACCCCATGTCAGGCCTGTCTGCCTTCCAACGTCTGAGCCCGAAGGCCTGATCCCACACATGCTGGGCCTGGTGGCCGGCTGGGGCATCTCCAATCCCAATGTATCCGTGGATGATGTCCTCGGGAGTGGCATGCGAACGTCCACAGATATCCTGCAGTACGTCAAGTTACCCGTGGTGCCTCACACGGAGTGCAAAGCCAGCTATGAATCCCGCTCTGGCAACTACAGTGTCACAGAGAACATGTTCTGTGCTGGCTACTATGAAGGTGGCAAGGACACATGCCTTGGCGATAGCGGTGGGGCCTTTGTCATCCTTGATGAAGTGAGCCAGCACTGGGTGGCCCAAGGCCTGGTATCCTGGGGAGGGCCCGAAGAATGTGGCAGCAAGCAGGTATATGGAGTATACACAAAGGTCTCCAACTATGTGGACTGGCTGTGGGAGGAGATGAACTCCCCACAAGACGTGAGGGAGCTCCAGGTAGAGCGGTGAGCTGACTAACTTCCTTGGGGCCTGCCTGTGCTGACCCGTATCAAGTGAAACTGCACCACACACTTCCGGCTACACACTCCATGTTACTTACCAGACCAAATAGACTGAATTTACTGACTGACCTAGCAGGGCATTCATCCTCCTGAGACAGCCCTAGGACCCAGGGAGGCAGCATTGTGGTACAGGGGCAAGATATGAGGCAGGAGGCCTGGTCCATGACTTGGACCAAGTCCTTTCCCCTTCCTGAGCTACATCTTCCCTACAACATAATGAAGGAACTGAGCTAGAGGGCCTCTAGCTCTCCTCTCCAGGGCAAGCTTTAGCCTGTTGGCCTTTATTCACTCCTAACCATTTTTTAAACCCATTGGGGCCACTATTGGTGTAAAGGATCTTAGACCTGATAGGAAATGATTCCTTATATTGAACTGAAGTCTATATCCAGATATTTTCCCAGTTTTGCTCTCTGGTCTTACACCAAGTTAAGTCCCTCCTCTTAACCATTCAGTTTAAAGAAAGGAGATCAGAGGCCCTCTCTCATGGTGTAACAGACAGGCCTTTCCACAAAGCTCCCTGTAGTACAAGTATTATTCTTTATATTCCCCACTAAAGGAATTTCAAAGGGAGATGGAAAAGGTTTGTGGTAACTGTGGAAGGAGAACAGCAGCGGGCAGCTCTCCACGCCCCTTAAATTCACATCGTCCACTGAAAACACATCACTGGGGCCCATGTGCCACTCTTAAATACCAGCTGACCCCACAGTGTTTCAACACTTGCCACTCCAAACACAAAGCAACACTCCAGCTCTGGGACGCATCATCTAAAAAGACTGCATGCCCAACCCCACGTATGGAGACTTAGCTGTTACTTAGGAAACAGTGGGATCTACACTGAATCCCACCAGGATGGAAGAAAAATAGAAGAAAGAGTTGACTCAGCATCTAAGAAGTCAATCAAATCCCACCAGGCTACCCCATAACCCTGGGACCTGAGCTCAGTGGAGAATAACACCCAGCACGATGGTGAGAAGCCTCTACTCCTCTGCTTTTCAGTGCTCAAGGTCACGGCAGTGAAAAGAGACGGAGCATCTTAGGTCATAAACCTAACTGGCTATATAACCATTGACAAATCATTTTCTTCTCTGGGCCTTAGGGTCTCCATAAAAGGAAGTCCTGAAACCCACTTCACCATCTCTCCAGCTCTTGTTGTCAGCACCCAGTGATGGCCAGCAGCCTCTCTTGGGCGCTCATAGATGGATTGTATTCCTAACTCTCTCCTGGGAATCCCCATCCTATAAAGGTACCTGGTAGAGCTTCCTGAAAGGTATTCCAAGAGAATAATTAGGAAATATCCGATTCTTTTTTCAAGTGATTCATCAAAACACACTCCTGTATCTATGAATTGTACATGTAGAGGATGCTATATTTTGTATATTTAAATATCACATGCTTTGCTACTCTGTAGGGGGCCTTTGCATTTTGTTTCTCCTGGTGGGGGTCTAATGTGGAAATAAACCCTCTGAGGATAATCAGTGGCCTTGTTTTGGGAGTTTGGTTATTGTGGATGAAGGATGTTCATTATTTTGACACTTTACTGGGAAATTAGCCCTTTGTGAAGCCAAAATCTTTTCCTGTCTAGAAACAGCTTTTGGCAGCTGGACGTCATCTCAAAAAGAAGTACTAATGCCAGGCACTGGTGGCTCACACTCTTACCCTGACTACTCAGGAAGCAAAAGCCAGCCCAGGCAGGAAAATCCATTAGATTTATATCTCCAATTAACCAGCAAAAGATCAGAAGCAGAGGTGTGTCAGGAGTGGTAGAGCACCAGCCTTGCATGAAAAAGCTAAGCAAGAGTGTGAGGTCTTGAGTTCAAACTCTAGTCTTGACACAGAAGAAGAGGGAGGAGGAAGAAGAGGAGAAAAAGAAGAAGAAGAAATTGGTCGGTTATTGATATATTTCCTTATCAAAAGCTTTGTTTCCTCATTTAAATTCCTGTCATTTAATTCCTTTGCTTCAAAAAGCTCACCCTAGCAAGCAAGATAAGGTTAAGTGCATGTAGGTCTTACATAGGCAAAAGGAGTTGAATGTTATTGAAAGAAGATTTAAGTATTATTGGAACTTAATTAAATGAAGGCATGATTTCATACAGCTGAAAGGGATCAAAATGACTCGGAAGAAGTAAGGGATACTGGAAAGCCAAAATTAAGAGATGCTCTTAGCAGAGTGATGATGAACTAGTAATTCAGGGAATAGACAAGACAGAGCCCAGAGTGTGATCTGTTCCTTCCTCCTTGGCTGCAGTGTGTGGTGTCCCCAAGTTCTCCCGGAAGATGATGGCTAAGATCTTCAATGGACACCAAAGCCAGAGGGGCACCACTCCCTGGATGGCCATGATGGTAGAGCAGAATGGACAGCCCTTCTGTGGGGGTTCCCTTCTAGGTAAGGAGAAGGTGAGAAATGGAAGGTCCCCTGGTGGGGAAGAATAGAAGCTGAAAAACTCAATCCTCATCCTGGAGACTGACCAGAGTTTCTGTTATTCTTTTTTCTTTCTTTCTTTCTTTTTTTTTTTTTGAGAATCATTGACCACTCAGTGGGGAAGAAAGGGCCTTAACTGGAACCAGATGTACTAGTTGTGGTATTCCTCCTAAAACCGGTCAGTGTCCAACCTTGTGAAGGATTAATTCATGAGTGATAATAAATATGGTGTGTACCTGTGTGTACATGCACAGGTGTGTACATGTGACAAAGGCAGTGCCACCTGAGCTCTGGGATCAGGTAGATTGTCACCTTTGGGAAGTGAGAGAAGGAAGATTTACAAAATCTTTTAAAACCAGGCCTAAGAACTTAGATCTTTATTCTATACTCAGCTGCAGAAGATAAGCATATCCTGAGAAGTTCTTTCCACATGGAGCAGGAGACACAAGGAAGAGAATCTAGAGGCCACTTCAGTAGATACCTGTTGCAATAATGAAAAGTCATTAGCCACCCCACCCTAGAAAAGAAAAGGGACATAAGAGATGAAAATAAAGTATGCAGGTTCATAAATACTAGAAAATGAAATTATTAACTTTGTAAGTAGAAGGGAATGGGAAGAAGAATAGGAAAGAACAGATTTATATGAACTAAGTTTCACTCAAAGTCTGAGATCTTTAGAAGAAAAGGGTCTAGAGTTCTGAGCCCATTCCAGGTGAAGAAAACTCTGATTGTTCCACCTCTATCTGGGTAGCTTCCAGGCTGTAGGCCATGTCTCTCCCTTAGCCTCATCTACTGCCTGACTATAGTCAGGGTTGGACAAATGTAGGCCAGGGATCCTTTAAGGCTTGGGCTAGGGCTATATTTAAGAATATAGGGAGGGTAGGGGAGAGAGATGGGAGGGCAGGGATGGTAAGGGGAAACAAAGGAGGAAGCAACAATGCTTGATAAGAAATGTACTCATTACCTTGCTCATGTAATTGTAACCCCTCTGTATGGTATTTTCACAATAAAAAACTTATTAATAAAAAAAAGAATATAGGGAGGTGGGAAATGGCAATAGCAACTGTAAAACTTCCCTTCAAGGAACTAATCCTTATGTTCCTATGAGAACAAAGATGAACTGTCTGCCTCAGTCAACGAGCCTTTGTAAGAGGTAAGGAGAGTGAGTAAAGGTATAAAAGGGAAGGTGCCAGGCACTGGTGGTTCACACCTGTAATCCTAGCTACTCAGGAGACAGAGATCTGAGTATCATTTGTCAAAACCAGCCCAGACAGAAAGGCTGTGAGATTCTTATCTCTAATTAACCAAAAAGCCAAAAGTGGATCTGTGGCTTAAGTGATGGAGCACTAGCCTTGAATGAAAAAGCTAAGGGACAACACTCAGGCCCTGAGTTCAAGCCTCAGTATTAATACACACACTCAAAAGAAAAATGTTTGCAAGGAAGGTAAGGCTGGAGCTGAAAGCAATCCAGTGGGGAGAAGGACAGGGGAGAGAACCAAGAAAGAAAGAGAAGGAAGGGAAATACATAGAGGTTGAGAATCAATGGCAGAATGAAAGACAAAACAATGAGACCTAAAAAAAGGCAGAGGGAACTGAAGGGAGAATGACAGGGAAATGAAAGAGGTAACAGAAGAGAAAATAGAGCCTAAGATGCCAAAGGGAGAGAAGAAATCAGGAAACAAGAAAGGAACTCTATACAAAGACAGAAAGGATGGAAGAAGAAAAGAGTGGGAAAGAGCCAAAGGGTGGGTAAAAGGAAGGGAAGGCTTCTTCAGCAGACTTTTCCAATGTTGCTGGAAGCCAAGTTGAAGATGGGTTACATGCATTGTTTTAAGACTTAAATTCACTTGAGTTCATAATTTTGAATCTGTATTGGTATGCATTGCATGCTTATTCCCTATGATCTGTGCTTTAAAGTTGCTTGAAGTTCACTTCTCTATACCCTGTCCAGCTGAAAGATCCTTCACACTTGATCCTCCTCAAAGCTCTGCAGATCTATAATCCTTTCCCTGCTGTGCTCCTCCGGCCTTGTGGAGGGAGGAAAGGAAAGAAGAGGGCAGAGGGAACTAGAAAGCAGATAAAAGAAAAAGGAAGGGGTAAAGTGTATTCTCCTTGGCCACATGAGGCCTGGGTGGAGGAATTGGCAGAGCTTGGGGTCTGGACTGACCAGTGCCCTCTCTGGGGCTCCTCTAGAGATCCCTGCTCTGAGGAAGATCTCTTCACCTGGGTACCTCAGCCCACTTTATCCACCCAAGAAACCAACTCAGTAAACCCTGGTCATGGCCAGAATAAAAAATACCTCAGGGGAAAGATGGTGCCTTGTGTGAAGCTCCATCCACAATGAGAAGCTGGAGCCCCTAGTTGCTTATGAGAAGCCAAGTGGAGCCTGGAACCTGCTTGAGAAAGCGTCTGTGCCCTTGATGCCAAACTATGCCATCTGTGCCTCTGAATCTTACCCCTACTCCCTTACCCTACAGCCTTTTTGTCTGCTTGGCTCCTCCTAGGTCTCTGCCACCTATGCATTTATGATCTGCTCCATTGAAAAGCTAGTCAGAAGCCCACCTTACACAAGGTACAGGTATATATCCATCCAAGGGAAGAAGACAAGACCCAAGAAATACACTAGGCTACATCAGGAGACTCAGGGCCAACCTCCCCTCCATGAGAGGTCTGGATCAGAGCAATGGTGCTCAGCCCTGGTGGCAACCAATTTCCTCCAGAAACATTGAACCCGTGCCGGTGCTGAGCTCCACCCTCTTAACTTCTCTGATCTAATGCGGGCCTTCTTACTGACTTTTCTAATTCCCCAGGCAATTTCATGTGCAGCCACATCACTCCCTCTGTACTTGTCAAACTAAAATATGCATGGGAGCTATTTGGGTATGTTTCAGGCTCTAATTGTATAATCTGAGGTGGGCCCTGATATTCTTTATCTCTAAGTTATTCTCGGGTGATGTTGCTGCTGGTGGTCTTACTATCACATCAGAGAGGCAGCCAGTGAGTATTTTTTTTTTTTTTGGTGGTGGTGGTGGTAGATCTTGAACGCTGGGCCTGAGTGCTGTCCCTCAGATCTTCAGCTCAGGGCTAGCACTCTACCACTGAGCCACCTTCCCAGCCCTGAGCATGGGGTTTTTATGGATCTGGTTTGGGTTGTCTGGTACTCATCCATACTTTAAGGGTTTCTAGGCACAAGGGAGCCCAGAAACCCTCTATAAAATATTTAGACCAGGTACAGGGGGCTGACACCTTTAATCCTAGCTATTCAGGAAGCTGATTTCTGAAGATTGCTATTCAAAACCGGCCTCGGCAGAACATTCCATAAGACTCTATCTCTAATGAACCAGCAAAAAATTTCAACTGGAGGCATGACTCAAGTGATAGAACACCAGTAGTTGAGCAGAAAAAACTGAGCAAGTGTATGAGGCCCTGAATTCAAGCCTAGTATGCCCCCCACTCCTAAATTAGTCTTATCCTTGCTTAAAATAGGCAGTTGGGCTGGTGGTTCTCACCCATAATGCTAACTACACAAGAAGTTGAGATATAAGGATCATGTTTCAAAGCCAGCCTGGGCAGAAAATTCTATGAGACTCTTTTTTTTTTGGCTGTGGGGCTTGAACTCTGGGCCTGGATGCTGTCCCTCAGCTCTTCAGCTCAAGGCTAGTGCTCTACCACTTGAGTCAAGTGACACTTCTGGCTTTTTCTGCTTATATGGTGCTGAGGAATCGAACCCAGGGCCTCATGCATGCAAGGCAAGCACTCTACCACTGAGCCACCTTCCCAGCCCTGTATGAGACTCTTATCTCCAATTAAGCCATCAAAAATCGAGACATGGAGCTATGGCTCAAGTGCTAGAGTACTAAGTTTGATTAAAAAAGCTTAGGGACAGCACCCAGGCCCTGAGTTCAGCCCTAGGACTGGAACACACACACACACACACACACACACACACACACACACACACACACACATACACACACACACAAATAGGCAGTGTTGCTGAGCACTGGTGGCTCATGCCTAAAATTCTAGCTAGTCAGGATGCTGAGTTGTTTGAATCCAGCCCAAGCAGGAAACTCTCTGAGATCCTTACCTTCAATTAGCCACTAAAGAACCAGAAGTGAAACCATATTCAAGTGACAGAACCCAGGCCCTGAATTCAAGTGCTAGAAGTGACGTTGAAAAATAATAAGCAGTTGAAATTACAGGCATAATATCTCATCTTCAAATGATACGACTTTACTATCTGACTTAGGGCATGAAATTCAGGGGAGGGGCTTAGAGGTGGCCTGGAATAGGTTTAAGGACCTCAGTTCAAGACAGCTGGAGCCAGGACAGGACAGTGAAGGAACAGCACATGAATGTTCTCTTCTCCAGGCTCCAAATGGATTGTGACTGCTGCTCACTGCCTCCATCGGCCAATGGATCCTGAGGACCCAACCCTAGATGCCTCATACTTGTTCAATGCTTCTGAATTCAAAATCATCATGGGTGAGTGAAAATCGCACTGACCTCTGACCTCCTGAAGTCAGCTGTGAGTTTTGGAACAGGTTCAACGACTGCCATTTTCCAAGGCCTTCCTTTAAAAAATCAGGACGTTAGTTGAGTCAATCAACACACTGAATGTCAATTGATCAACATGCACTTACCTGTCAATGCTCTGCCAGAATCTAAGAATACAATATAACCAAGAATGAGTTTCTTCCCACAAGGAGCTTACAGTCTAAGGAATGAATAAGGTATAAGTCTGGAGCCCTGAAATAGAAGGTGAGAAGATGAAGGTTCTGAATGAGAGGACAGATAGAGTGTGCTATGGGAGTTCACAGGGGAAAGATGTCTACCTTAGGTGTCTAGAACTTCCCAGTTACTGAGTCAGTACATGGATTGGACTGTACCAACAGCTATAAAAACAAGCATTCTAGCACAATGATCACCTCATGAGGAACGATAGAAGTAAGAAGCCATAACACTCTATGGAAGATTTCAGGTTGGCCTAGAGGGCTAGGCTGGGGAGAAGGCAGGTGAGCATCGCTTAAAGGGATGAGTCTAGAAGCACCTGTGATGTAGGACCAGATGGCTGACCAGGAAGGAGCAAGGTATGGCTTTATCCTCCACTGTTCTCATGCCTCACACACCTTCTTCTTGTCCAGGCAAGCATCGAAGGCTCCAGTCAGATGAAAATGAACAGCATCTCCAGGTCAACCGTAGCTACCTCCATCCCCAGTATAACCCTACCACATATGAGAATGATGTGGGTCTGGTGGAGTTAATGGAGGGTCCAACGTTGAATAACTTTGTGATGCCCATCTGTCTGCCAGAAGACCCCACACAGGAAGGTACCTTCTTCTTACCTCTGACTCCAGCTCTGCAGGGCCACTGAGTCAGCTGACGGTCTCTGCATGATTCCCCGGCTGCCTCCCCACAAACAACGAAGCCAGAACTGGTTCTGAGGTAGTGGAAATCCTGTTAGGCACGAAGTAAACAGGAAGGACTATGGGCCCAGACAGGAAAATAAACCAAACTAGTGATTTTTAAGAGAGAATTTACCAGAGCAGATTGGTGATCTAAATAAGTAAAGGGAAAAGCTGAGAATAATAAAAGATAGTACTGTAAGACGAAATGGACCCCTTTAGGCCTTAGAGAACCAAGGTAAGCAGCTGAAGTTACAGAGCCTAGGAATTTGGGTAAGGGGTCTTTTGGAGCCAGTACTTCTGCAGACAAGACAGATTTGCTAAGGAAAATAACTGGAGCCACTCACCACAGGGGGGAAGAAAACATTACAATAGTAGAGTCTTCCAGACTCCTTGAAAGAGCCCTTAGTTGTGGGAAAACAGCTAGCCAAGCTGAATTCCCATCTAATCCTTCCCTCTCATCACAAAGCCAAGTGTAGAAGGGCAATTCAGATGCCAGAGAACAGTAACTTAAATCGCCAGCACAGGTTCAAATCCTGCTGTTGATATTTTCTAGTTGAGTGATCTTATAGAAGATCACTTGGCCTCATAAAGCCTCATAAAACAAAATCTCTGAACATGGCTATGATATTTAAATGAGATAGTATAAATGCAATGTGTAATACATAGCAGACAAGGCTAGCCAATCTTATATGGCTTTTCATTCTAAATCTGATCAAGCCATATCATAACTCATTTTTTCTAGCTCAAAGGTATTAACAATTGCTGATATGGAATGTGAGAATGTTGAGAGAAAAGGGTGCAGGCATAGCTGACTGGAGTTAATAGAAGGCCATGATATTACCATGTGCCAGCTGCTTTATGTTCATTACCATATGAAAGTTTTACACGGTAGAGATTAGCTTGGAGTACCATTTTACAGATGAGAAAATTGAGGTACAGCAAAGTGAATGGACCCACCCAAGATGCAGCTTCTATGAAGCTCTAAGAGTTGGGTTCAAGTTTCCTCATGTAAATCCCAGTGTTGTTTTGAGTGCTCTATCGGCATTAAATTCATGTTCACATTGTCCTCAGGGCTGCAAGCTTTGTAGGTTTCTCGAACAGCCAAGCTTGAAAACTTTTTAAGAAATACCAAGTCTTGCCGCACCATCTTATGGATAAGTACAAGCCTTACGGGGCAGGAGAAGAAAGAGAGTTTGTTAGAGGTAGTCTAACATCTTGTTGACTAGAATGGGCTCTTTATTTATTCAGCATTATTAACTGATCATCTACTATATTACAGCACTGTTACAGGCATGGTGATAAAATGGAGAACAAGAGAGATGAGATCACAACTTTCATAGGTTCTTTGCTAGCTGGGGAGTGGGAGAGAACAGACAGGCAAATGAATAATCAAGCAGTGTATCATAGAAACAACAGCCCCTTGCAGCTGCAGGTCACCTCCGACCCATCAGCCTTTCCCATCATCCCTCCTCTCTCATTGCCTTTCCCTGAGGAGGCAAATTCAGCCCTTCTTCCACAGGCAGAGGAGAACAGAGCTGCCAGGCGCAGCCCTCTGCACACCCTCCAGACAGCCGTTCCCTCACAGCATCTCCTCTCCTCCAGGAACCATGGCCATCGTCACTGGCTGGGGAAAGCAGTTCTTGAGGCGTCTCCCAGAGAAGCTGATGGAGGTGAAGTTCAACTTATACCCCATAGGCAATGACACATCCGGTCCCGCAGGGGACCTGCCTGCTTCATCGCCCTGTCAGGGAGGTGCAGGTGTGGGCAAAGGGAGAGAGATGCCAGGGGCAGACTCATCGACAGAGTTTAGGTAGACTTTGAACCCCAGAAAGTTTTTAGTTGTTTGTTCTACCCATGGGCTCTGTTCTCTAAACACTGTCCAGTGTCCCTGGTAGCTTATGTAAGCCTCACCTCATAAAATTTCCCCAGAAAACAGCAGGGTTAGACACCCCAAAGGCTTCTGACTTATCTGCATGCCTTTTGGACTACATACCAAATTAGCATGCATAGTCCAGGCTTGCAGATCCACAGAAGTACACTTGGTTATTGTACTTCAAGTTCACATTCCTATCATTTCAGAAAGGAACACCAAACCAGACCTAAAGGGCTAGGGCTCCCAGTCCTGGCTTGTACAGAGTTACTGGGTTGTCTGAAATAAGTCATTGATTTGCCCATATTGCACTATCCCAAACTGAAAAGTTAAGATCCACAGTGGACACACTCTGAGAACTACCTGGCTTTTACCTCACCAGGTTTGGTAACACAGTTAGGTTGTAATACACAGTACACATTATTTATTGTAATATAACTGAAAGTTTTAGATTTGGAAGGAGCTGGTTCCTGGCCCTCTTGATCAAGTAGAAAGTCATGGATTGCAATAAAGATATGGAAAGGAAGAAGTACAGAATGTTCTAGAATGTGAGGATTCGGGTGGATTTCCCAAAAGATATGCCACTGAGTAGTGAAGAGGAGTTCTCCAGGGACTCGACGGGTGGCTGACACCAGGCCTGTGATACAGCTTCCTCTCCCCACTTACCCAGGGAAAGACCATGGAAATGGCCCCTGGTTCCCTTTTAGTACCAGGTGAATGTGTATATTTGGGGCATGTGGTTGATATCAGTCTTGATATGGCTGAATAAGACTCAAATGCTTCTTCTTTTTATTCTAGACATCAATTCCATGCGGAATCAAAGCAATCATAATCATATCTTATTTATATGTAACATTCTATCACCTTAATTTTTTAAAATGTTTTCTAAGTACCTAATGTCTTCCAAGATACAAATGGACTAGAGGCCAACCTAATATCTAGGAACTTATGCTGTAGTGAGAGACAGACAGACAGACAGAGAGACAAAGAGACAGAGAGAAAGAGCAATATAGGTGAATGCTTGCTTTCTGGAAAGCAATGTGAGGCTCTGTGGCTCAAACAGTAGAGCGCTTGCCCTGAGCTGAAGAGCTGAGGGATAGCACCCAAGCCCAGAGTTCAAGCCCCAGGACCAACCAAAAAAAAAAAGTAGAAAGCAGTGTAAACCCTTGAGGTCCCTAATAATATGTACAGCGTTTGCATTTTACAAAGTACTAGCTTATTTTATTTCCTTCTTGTACTGTGTAGATAAAGAAACTGAATTTCAAAGGTCTAGACCCAAAGATTGTGCTACATGTCCCAGGACCCAAAGCAGGGGAAGAGAAAAACTGACCATGGATTTTGTATAGATTGTGATATTTATTTTATGCCAATCCCGGCATAAAACTCAGGGCCTGGGCTCTGACCCTAAGCTTTTGTGCTGAAGGCTACCACTTGAATCACAGCTCCACTTCTGGCTTGTTCTTTTTGGTAATTATTTACAGATAAGGTCTCATGGATTTTTCTCCCTGGATTGGCTTGGAACTGTGATCCTCAGATCTCAGCCTCCTGAGTAGCTAGGATTATAGGTGTGAGCCAACAGTGCTCTAGTTACATTGTGGTGTTTTAAATAATCAATGTGGGATAAGATGAGGTAGGGTGACAGTCTTATAAAAGAAATGCACTCATTACCTGATTTATGTAACTGCAACCCCCCTGTACATCACCTTTATGATATAAATTACATATATATGTGTGTGCATATATATACATATATGCATATATATATCAAGACCTCTTAAGCCAGGGATGGAGACTAATGTTAGCCTTGTGTTCCAGATTGAAATTCCAATCATTGGTCATCATATGTGCCAGAAGAACTATGCACTGATAGGTGATAAAGTGACAGAGGACATGATCTGTGCTGGAGACCTGGAAGGTGAGTCAGGAGCAGATGTACAAGTGAGCACTGTCTGCCAGGGTGATGTGCATTTAGCAGTAGGAGGATAAAGACTTCCCCTCCTGGGAAGAGAAACCCACTACAGAGTATATTCCTATATCTAAGACAATAGAGGAGGTGGGGAGATGGAGGTCTGATCATGGATGAGAGATTCCACTAGAGAAGATACATCAGAAACAAGTGCTAAGCAATCACGTTATTCCATTCCTGTATGGGCCCTTTGTAGAATATCCTTGATCTCTCTAGGTGGGCTCACTTGCACCTGCTCATCTTGGGGATTTGGGTCCTGTGGACTGTTCTGCCCTCTGGTGCCTGATTCGCTGAACTACAAGCCAGAGATCAATAGAAGAAGGGCTCCCTTAGATTTGGGCTAGAGAAATGGGTATTTGAATCTGCATGTCCTTTTCATTTAGGTGGGAAAGATGCCTGTATGGGAGACTCTGGAGGCCCCATGGTGACCTTGGATAGAGAGAAAGGGCAGTGGTACCTGGTGGGTATTGTGTCCTGGGGTGAGGAATGTGGACAGAAAACCCACTACGGAGTGTATTCCGACGTCTACCACAATAAGGACTGGATTCAGAGGACCACTGGGGTGGTGAACTGAGTTTGAAGACCCAGCCAACCGACCACAACTGACTACCTGTTGTAGTTAGTGAGCAGTGGGTCTGATGTATGGGTCCTTTCACACACATGCCATTAGTGATCAAAGCAATGATTAAGTCCCATTTAACCTGACTTTAAAGAAGCAAAGTAACAGAGGCAGAATCCAGGCTTTGCCACTTTTGAATTTTGCAATGTTAGACTTCATTTCTTTGAACCTCTTTATCCATGAGATGTGAATGATTCATCTTACCTACCTCATAAGAGTGCAATTAGAATAAATATACATAATTTATATATAAATATATGTATATAATACTCCAGAGCATGGCTTAAATTAAATGTTCTAAAAATGTGATTTAAGCCAGGTGTCTGTGTCTCCTAGCTATTTGGGAGGCTGAGATCTGTGGATATGTTCAAAGCCCACCCAGGTAGAAAAGTCCTCCAAGAAAGCTGGATGTAGATGTATGGCTCAAGTAGTGGAGCACCAGCTTTAGGTGAAAATGCTAAGCAAGAGTGGGAGGCTCTGAGTTCAACTCCTAGTACCACTATGAGAAAGAAGTGGAGGGCTTTGATAAAGGCAAAATGCTGCTACTATTCCCATGCTCACCTGTGTTCCTCATATTCTGGTACCCAAAGATACAGCCCAGGCAAATACAGCCAAAGATCTTACCTTTCTATTCCTAAGAAGAGCATTTGCTTCCAATTTTTAGACTTGTACTGCATAACATGGACTCCTTGGTAGGGTAAACTTCAGGCCTATTAAAAGAAGGGAGAGGGGAGAGGAAGCCCCACTAACTCCAAGTGAAGCCCATTCCAATGTTATGCTGTTCTTCTGAAGGTCTCTCTTCTATCCACCTCCCTAGAACATAATTTGTATAACCAAAGCTGTGATTTCATACGCTGAATGCTGCTATTAGCAATAATAATCATGCCTGGATTTCATTAACAGTTGAAGCTGGTGTTCTTATGGGAAAATACACATTTGTTCCAATAAACATCTGCATCAAGTCAGAGGTCCCGGTCTGGTTTGTATGTTTTTTCATGCACTGATGAGTTTGATGAGTTGTTTCCATGTTTCAAAATTTTCTCTCTTCGATTAGAATCACTGTAGCATGAAGAACAAAAAAGACTATAATGGGAAGGTTGCATTCTACGTACAAAAGCTTGTCTAGGTTTTGAGGTTCATTTAGTTCAAGTCACATTGTACTATTGTTCCTATAAATTACCAAGTATTCCAAAATGCCAGTGTTTCAAGACCCAAATTATATTTCTTAAATGCTACCCATACTCAGAAAAAAAAATCAGATGGCATGTAAGTGTCTGCTTTGGGAATACGACACCATAGATAGATCAGTGTGTTCTAGACTGGAGTATATGCCTTCCTTCTGCCAAAGTTAATCTTGTACACAAGACATCACTCAAAGAAGCACTACTGCTAAGGTGCCCTTCAGAAAGAAAATTGGTAAGAGTTTTGTGTGGGGAAACCTAGACCACTCACTCATATGGCAGAGATTCAGCCAATCTTATTCTATAATGGGTCTTGAAAGCCAGAGACTTAAGTTCTTGTATAGTTCTAGGTGAGACTTAAGTTCTAGTATAGTTCTAGGTTGACTCTCTTTGTCTCTATTAAACTGATGGAATAACCTTTGACCTCTTCTACCTGAGATTGTTGAATCACAAGAACCAGCAAATGAGGAAAATCTTTTTTTCTTTTCAGGTCCTTGGGCTTGAACTCAGGGCCTGTATGCTGCCCCTAAGCCTCTTTATGCTCAAGGCTAGCACTCTACCACTTGAACCAGAGTGCCACTTCCAGTCTTTTCTGAGTAGTTTATTGGAGATAAGAGTCTCCTGGACTTTTCTGCCTGGGCTGGCTTTGAACTACGATCCTCAGATCTCAGCCTCCTGAGTAGCTAGCTCACAGGCATGAGCCACTGGCACCCACTGCAAAAGCTTGATAAACTAATTAACTCAAATATAAAAATATATGTGGGGAAACAATCATCACTAACATTTCTGAGCACTCACTTCCTAGTGCAAACATATGACACTCTTACACATTCACACTCACACACACACACACACAATTTAACCTTAACAACACCCTATGATGATATTACTATTATTATCCCCACTTTACAGTTGTACAGATTCAAAGCCAATTTTTTAACAGTGAAGTTAAAAACATGATCCAGCACCTCAGCAGCAATGAACATACATGGTGATCAGCTCCTAGTATGGAATAACAATCTCTAATAAAAGCAATAAAAGACCCTGGAAAAATGATTGATGCAATGATTGATTTCAAATATGAAATATACAATATAAGCCCAGAACATCTTTTTTTTAAATAAGTTTTTTTTATTGTGAAAATACTGTACAGAGGGGTTACAGTTACATGAGCAAGGTAATGAGTACATTTCTTATCCAGCATTGTTGGCTCCTCCTTTGAGTCTTTTAGTGCTAAGAAACTGTTCCAAGAATTCCTCTGTGGTAGGGTTGTGTCAGAAGGACACAAAACTCAACTGAAAGTGGTCCAATGGCCAAAGCTGGAACAATTTGAGGGACATAGCTAACAAAGTAGCATTGGATAATAACCCAAAGTATGACGCAAATACTCGTAGTACAGGCTTCCATGAATAAATTATTGAACAAATGTAAATAGTGTGAGAATAAACAAGTTTCCCATGCAGAAGGATGCCAAATAATGTGAAACCAGAGAATAATTCTCCATCCATCAAGTATAGGCAACAGAAAGTGACTTCCTTCCAAGGAGATGAGTATGGAAAGAAGGAAAGCAGTAGTTCTATGTGGAGAAATCCCGAACAGCAGTGTCTCAGCCCGACAGTCAAGGCTGATAGGAAGAGTGATGTTACACTGACATTATGTGACCTTCATATGTTATTCTGACAATGGCTCCACAGTTTATGCCCCTCTCTCCCCCCTGCCTCCCCAAATCTCATAATCACAGTCTAATCATGAGAATCACATCAGAATAATAGTGATTTCTAGAAAATACCATTGTTCTCAGAACTATATGTGTCATCCAAAATGAGGAGAATAGCATTGTCACAGGCAAGAAAAACATAATGCGTTTAATTATGTCCCCCATCCCAAAAGACGTTGAAGTCCACTGTAAGTACCTCAAAGTGTGAATTGTTTGGAAACAAGGTTATTGAAAATGTAATTAGTTTTAAAAAAATGTAGCCGGGCACTGGTGGCTCATGCCTATTATCCTAGCTACTCAGGAGGCTGAGATCTGAGATCACGGTTCAAAGCCAGCCAGGGCAGGAAAATCCATGAGACTCTTATTTCAATAAACCACTCAGAAAATTGGACATGGCGCTGTGGCTCAAGTGATAGAGCACTAGCCTTCAGCTGAACTGCTGAGTAAAGTGCCGAGGCCCAGAGTACAAGCCCCATGACCGACCAAAAAAGTGTATACTAGTGTGAGGTGTACCTTTAATCTATGACAACTGGTGTCCTTTAGAGAAGAAACCAGGAAAGAAAAGAAAAAGAAGGGATAAGAAGAGTGGGAGGACAAGGAAAGGGAGAAGAGAAGAGAAGGGAAGGGAAGGGAAAGAGTGGGAAGGGGAGGGAGGGGAGAGGAGAGAAGGGGAGATGAGGAGAGGTGAGCCAAGGCAGGAGAGGAGGGGGGGGGGGGAGGGGGGAGGGGAGGAGGAGGAGAAGAGAAGGAAAGGGAAGGGAAGGGAAGGGAAGGGAAGGGAAGAGACCAGGAAAAATCTGTGATCGTGCTTTGTTACAGCAGACTTGGGATAATCAAATGAGAGACATACCATCTAAATACCGTGTGGCTTCCTGTGAAAGATCTTGGCCTATAGGAAAGACACTAAGAAAAAAAGAATGGAGGAAGCTCAGATAAAAAGCATGGACTTTAGTGAATAGTAGTGTAGTCACATTGATTCATTAATTGTAACAAATGTACCATGTTAATGTAAGATGCTAATAATGAATGAAACATGTACAGGTATATATCTGTACCATGTTTATCACTTTAAAACAAAAAAATAGATCTAAAATTATTCTACAGGGATTAGAAGCACTGCTCCAGTTGGTAGACCAGTAGCCAATGAGTGGAAGCCCCCCGATAAGGAGTTCAAGTCCTGACAAAAATAAGGGCATTATTCTACAAATTAAAGTGTTATTTTAGAAAAATGTGACTCAAGATCTCTCAGCAAGAAGACAAAGGAATAAAGTCTGAAGCCAGTTTCTGGACTCAAACCCAAGCCCTGAACTTTTGTACCAGTATTTAGTAAGCTCAGTTACTCACTGGAGTCAAGTGGAAATCTTAAGAAAATACAGATGTCTGGGTCTTTTTCCACATAAGTTGTTTTCAAACAAAGATTCTCGGGTGATTCAAATGTGTATCCAGCTTAAAAAGCCTGGTGAGAACGAATGGTAAGAACATTTATTTTCTAGGCTTCGGTCTTTGAGATCACTTGACAGATCAAAGGCAAAGATAGGATAGGTACTCTTTCTTGTGACTTATCAGAATTTCTTGAGCTTTATCAATGGCAACACCATTGCTAAGACATTTCTGCACTAGTGTTTTCCTGCACAGAACCGTGTTCTTTTTACTTTGCAGGAATCAACTCAAGAAGGGAGATGCACCTATGAGGAAAGAGGAAGATGCAAGTCCTTGTACATTTGGGAGAAACTGAGTGCCACTGTGTCCACAGAGACATAGTCATGTAGAGAGAACAAACTCCATACCATCTGGGAGAATCCAAATGTAGGTTCATGAAAAGCCCTGGAGGCTCAACTTGGTTTGGAAAATGGGGAAAAACTCAAGGAGAGATGTGATTAATTTGTTTTTCCCATGAATTATTAATCTAAGATATGGCTGTAAAACAGCAGAAAGGAGATCTAATGGTCCTGAGGGAAGGTAAACCCTATGCAGAGAGAGGAGAGGTATCTACATTCTGGAGCTTCAAGAACCTTTAACGGAGTCCCAAGCACTGTGAATACCTCTGAGTAGATTAA